AAAAAAAAAAAAAAAAAAAAAAAGAAAGTCACCGCAATGCTTCAACAACCACCACAGCGAATAAGAAGAAAATAACATTTCCATTCTCATAAACGACACAACTAGGATACCAAAAAGGCATACAGAAGATCTTGGACGAGGAAAAAAATCAGGTTATAAACGTTCAACTTCGTAGTTCAAGTACATAACATTCATCTTCTCAAAATAGTTCCAAGAAACACAATCTCCCCACACCATTTATTCGTAATCAAGCAGAAGAAAAAATCGATTCCACTTACCGGTGAAAACGACGTCGCCGTTTTCGATCGCTTGGAGAGAGGACCATGCTCCTCTTCAAGAGAGTCCTCGATCTCCAGCTTCACCGGCACCTTGTCCCAAAGCGACGCCATATCCGGCTCCAGAGAGCGATTCCCAGATTTCATCAACTGCACCATCAAATTTTCCCTCTCGTTTCCCCTTCACCGATAGTGAAAACTGAAATCAATGGCGAAACGAATCCACACAGAGCTTCAAAATTAATACAAGAACGAAACCCTAGAACAACGATCTGCGACCAAAATGGATAGGAAATTAGGAATGCAAAAGACAACGGAGATTCTGAAAACTCCACAATTTTTATTTTTTTATTTTAAGTAAAAAAAAAAAAAAAAAAAAAAAATAGAGAGAGAAAGAAATAATATAGGGACAGATTTGGTAAAAATCTTACCGCTGTTCGGGTCGGGTTGTCTGAATCCAATCCAATTTGCCGGCTACATTCACGTGCGACGGCACGTGTGGTTTAAGCATATATATATATATATATTTTTTTTTTAATTTTCTCTCTAATTTTAGAAATTAGGAATAATGAATAAAATATGCCTTTTTTATGCTTAACTGACCTGATTTTGCATTAGAACAAATAGATTTAGATTGTGGGTCCCTCGATAAGAATCTTTATGAATAACCGTCGTTGTCGGTACATTACCAGAAACATCTTAGTACGACTTAATAATCCGATCAATTTGAACAACTCAATTCAAATCATAAAAGTTTGGTTAAAAAAAATTATTTTGGTTGGGCTAAATTTTTTGAAAATTTGAAAATTTTGATTTAATGGTTGACTTTTTTTATCGAGTCAACCCGACGAACTTGAAAATTAGGTTACAACCCAAAATTCTATTCTATTTTTAAAAATATTAAGAATATTTAAAGTTTTGTAATTAGTAGTGATATGTTGTGACTGGTAAATGTTTTATATTTGATTTTTCATAAATTTTATTTATTGATAAATTGATTTTTTTTAAATAATTAAAAAAGACCCGACAACCAGTTTGGGTTGGATTGTGAACTCAATTCGGGTTACTCGAGTCACTAACCCAACCAACCCGAAGTTTTGAGTTAGTCTAAAAGAGTTTGTTCTCTCTGGATTTTACCTTTCGGCTTTCCTCTCAAGGCTTAAAAACGTGTTTTCTAAGAAGAGGTTTTCATGCCCTTTAAAGAGTGTTTTGTTCTCTTCCCTAACTAAGGTAGGATATCACACAGGTATTCTACCATTGAAGAATAAGAAGAGTGGGAAATTATAAATAAATTAAATTATAAAAATATATTAGAATCTAATTCCTAATAATTTTAAGAAATAAAATTTTCATCTTTATTAAAAATTAAATTCTTTCTTTCTCTTAAAAAAAATTATAATTTAAGAAAATAAAATATTATGGTAATTTCTCTATTAAATAGGGAAGATAATTATTGTAATTTTATTATTGGAAGTAAATTTTAAATTATTTAATTAATTGGGACCATAATTTTTATACCATTTTGATTTATTGATTTAATAAATTGTGGTTTATTGGCATTATTATTATCTTTAATTTATCTACCATCTATTTTCCAATATTTATGATCATATAAACTTAATAATTTGTATTAATTTAAAGCTATATTGATTTAAACTTTATTTTTTATTTTAACCAAAAAGAAAAAAGAAAAAAAAAAAGCAAGAAAAAATGGAGTTACTATAATGCCCTTTGAATAACGAGTTTGGTCAGCGTCGTAAATGAAAATCTTTCAAGGGGTACTTCTGTCATTTCGAAACGTAGTAGTACAACGTGGCAGAGATTCGGATTATTTGCATGTGTGTGGGACCCACTGGTTCCCAAGTGGTGACTGACACGTAGACGGAAGTTAACATGTTGTCTTATGGGAGAAGCAATCAGATGAGGACGTCATGTGATTTCATAGGGTGGGACCTCATCGCGGATTGGTCCACATAAGCACCAATCAACAATCATTGCCACAATTGACCACTAACAAAGTTTGGATTTATTATTTATAAAAAATAAAAATAAAAAAGGATTTAATACGTTTGGATTGAAAATGCTTACATAAGATGTTGAATTAAAAAAAATTTAAGATAAAAAATAAATAAATAAATAAAAAATAGAAAATATATTTGTTTGCAATTATTGGCATTAGAGATTATTAGTATGAGAAACCCGAGTAAATGAAAGGTATACGAATGAATCGAACCAATAAGAGAAACTAAAAATCTAAAATAATATAAAGATAATATCGTACATTTTTCTGCGATCGTCTAATAATATAAATTTTTAAGTTACACACAGTTCTACTAATATTAGAGTTGCACGGTACTAAATTGAGATTATGAATTTTAAGCTTGAGGCATTAAAAATGATATACTATGCGTATGCTGGAGATAACTCTTGATTCGAATTGATTTGTCCGGTTTGAGTTGGTTATGAATTTATAAAAATTAGAATGGGTTGCATAGAACTAACCTGTTGTTAATTTTAAATTTTATTTATTCTAAAAGTACAATTATATATATTTATATTAATAATTTTTTTTAATTATTTATTCTACAAGGATGAAATTCGGTAAAATTTCAAAATAGGCACTCAAATTGAATCACAAATTTTAATTAAATGTTTGAAAATAAATAAATAGACGGGATTAAAATTTTCTTTTATTAATTTTTTTTGAATCGATTGAATTCATTATTTAATAAAAATAGTTACAATATAAACCATTAAATTAAATAACCTTATTAGGATTAATGGATCGGGTGAAATAATTTTCATAGCGTTAAAATGTAGTAAAATTAATTCAAATGATGCGAGCATAATTTGATCGGGCCAATTTTATAAAATTTATATACGAGTTGCATTTAATTTTAATTTTTTATTTCAGAAGGGTAAGATTAAATTTCTAGTTTTGGTTGGGTTTGAAGGCAAGAATACATTCTTTTACCATTTTTCTCCTAATTTAATTATAATTTATTTTGAATAAAAATACAAAAAAACTAGACTTTTATACAGACGAATGAAACTACAATTACAAAAACTTCAAACACAAAATCAACTACAAGAAACCAAATAATTTATATTATCTTATTTTCTACCTATATTTAGTATTCAAAATATAAATTTTGTAATTATTATATTATATTATCTTATTTAATTTTTTATTTTTAAAACTTGTATTTATTATTTAAGTCTCTAGCCAACTAGTGTATATATATATATATATATATATAAGTTTTGTAAACTTGACTTGATTTTTTAAAATATATAGGTAAAAACAACACTAAATTAGGCGTTTACTTTTAAATTTACATGGTCTCTAAACCAAAAAAATTAAATTGTTGATCTATCAAATATAGTACTAAAGATAATGAGTGCAAACCTTATCAACAGGAATAACAAGCAAGTGTTTGGTAGGCCAACCTACCGAGCAGGGCACTCGATAAAAGGGGAGCACACTCAGTAAGTACGAGAAATTGACCCTGCTCCGTTTTACATGAACTTCAAATAAATCTTTAAACTTTAGGAGTGCACCTTTTAAATTTTGGAGCTATCATATATAAAATTCAATTTTGCACCTAATAAATTCATAAATTTGATGAAAAAATATATCAAATAGTAAAAAAAAAAAAACTATTACACGATGGAATAAAAAAAAAATCCAACGACCCATTGAACACAAAATTAAAAGTTCAGAACACATTTTGAAGTTCATAGATTAAATAAACACAAACGAACGTTTTTAACTCAACGTTTTAATTTGCAAATTAAGTTACCTCGTTCTTCATAACATAAAACACTCCAATTTGTTGACTTGAATGCATTCTGCAAAGCTAAATCAAAAGAAAAACAATATTTAATTATCTGAGAGGTCAAAATCAAGGAAGATTTCCCAAAAACGTTATAGATTAGAGAATCAAAGTATCAAAAAGGTCAAGGGAAAACAACCATCACAAGTAATCAATCATCCAGCAATCATAGCAGAGGTTCAAATTACATTCTGTTCAAACTCTAAAGTTACTTGTTTGTGAAGAGTACTTAATGAGAAGAACAAGGTATTTCTTCCCCCATGTATGAATCAAGCTTTATGCAATTACTTTTACCTGTTTTTCCGTAGCCTTCTCAAGAAGCTACCTGCACAAGGCTGGCTACGAATCTTCAAATCTGTCAAACAAGGCTACCCCAGTTTTGTTTCAAACTGCCTCACTTCAACCTCACTGATCTTGTTCTAAGCTATGCCAATGCAAACATAATGTATAATCAATAATCAATAATCAATAATGAGTGTGTCACGGCCCAAACCCACCGCTAGCAGATGTTGTCTTCTTTGAGCTTTCCCTTAAGGTTTTTAAAACGCGTCTGTTAGGGGGAGGTTTCCACACCCTTGTAAGAAATGCTTCGTTCTCCTCTCTAACTGATGGGGGATCCACAATCCACCCCCTTAAGGGCCCAACGTTCTCGCTGGCACACCGCCCGATGTCTGGCTCTGATACCATTTTTAATAATCCAAGCGCACCACTAACAAATATTGTCCTCTTTAGGCTTCCCCTCAAAGTTTTTAAAACGCGTCTGCTAGGGAGAGGTTTCCACACCCTTGTAAAGAATATTTCGTTCTTCTCTTCCAGCCAATGTGGGATCTCATAATCCACCCACCTTCGGGGCCCAGCGTCCTTACTGGCACACCGCCTCGTATCCACCCCCCTTTGGGGCTCACCCTCCTCGCTGGCACATCACTCGGTGTCTGGCTCTAATATCATTTGTAACAGCCCAAGTCCACCGCTAACAGATATTGTTCTCTTTGGACTTTCCCTTCAAGGTTTTTTAAAATGCGTCTGTTAGGGAGAGATTTTCACACCCTTATAAACAATGTTTCGTTCTCCTCCCCAACTGATGTGGGATCCAACATAGTGTTTATATGCGTAAGTTTGTGATGGATGGGAACAAATAACAAATGAAACAGGCCAATACTTATTTTTAAAAGTCCTGTGTAAAATAGTTCTGAACCATGCCCATATTCCTTGTAATGATCTTGAAATTTTCTAAAGATTAAAGTGCAATAATACATTATGCTCCTATTTCACAAGCTCCCATGTGGGAAGAACTTTCAGGCCACAGATCTGTACCCCAGCTACGCTGTTTGACTACAATTAGATAGATGCCAAAAGTTTTGTCCAAGGTAAGCAATTCTTATTCTTTTGAAAGGAATGTCCTTATGAAGATGCCAATTTCTCACAAGATACATTAAACTAGAAGCTCACAAATTTTGCTTGCAATTCAAGAATATGTCTGGGGATGACTTCTCCTATCTTGTTATATATGTGAAGTAGCTTTTCTAAATTCATTAGCCTCTTCCGACTATTTTATTCGTTCTTTTCCAGTTTTGGCTTCAGGTACGACCTTCGATTCCAGCTTCTTTTGCCTTTTGCCTTTCGCCTTTCATATATGTTTTGTTCTTCATCTTCTTATAAAACTTTTCTTTTTTCTCAGAGATAACAATGGGAATCTGTTCTATCTTCTAGCAGTTTTCAAACATTCTTCATTTTGTTTCGACATATCTACGAGACAGAAGAAACCATGTTTTCTGAACTATTTGAAAAAATTATACCAAGAGATATCAGTTCCTTGTGGAGTTACTGGGGCATTGAGTTGCTAGTATTGGCAAACTTCATGTTCCAAATTATCTTAACTTTCAATGGATGTCGTCGAAGGCACACACCGGGATATAAGCTCAGCTTAACCGTTTGGTTTTCCTACTTATTGGCTGCTAAACTAGCAACGGTTGTTCTGGGCAAGCTAACAACAATCGAAATAGGCAAAGACCAACGCAACACGCACACCCAAATTCAGGCGTTGTTGGCACCATTGATGTTCATGCAAATAGGAAATCCAGATACGATCACAGCCTACTCAATCGAAGACAACCAGCTAGGAGTGAGGCAAATTTTCAGCTTGGTGATCCAAGTGAGTATAATGTTCTACATTCTTATAAGGTCATGGACAAATTCAAGAACATCGTTTCTTTACTTGCCAATGTCTTTAGCTGGGATAATCAAGTATGCAGAAACATCATGGGCTCTAAAATCAGCACTCAATGGAAACTTCGGCTTCACAATTGCCGATTTCTTCAAATATCACGAAGTAGCTCGTTTATTCGACAAACTGCCACAGGGAGAGAACGAACTCCCAGAGGCAAAATTGATCTTAAGAGCTTATTATAGATTTTGCTGCCTAAAACCACATCTAGAAAATTGGCTTTACTATCCTCCAACTGATTGCGAATACCAAAAACTCTACATCGACGACTGTGACTATGAAGACGTGTTCAGAATTACAGATTCTGAGCTGGGTTTCATGTACGATGCACTTTATACGAAAGCACCGGTCGTATATACTCGTAAGGGTTTAATTCTCCGTTGTATTAGCTTACTTAGCTTGATAGCCACACTAGTTGGGTTTTCAGTCTTGTTCAAGGATGCTTTTGTGTATAATATCAGTGTTGGATTTATCCATTTTGTGTTGATAGCATCTCTGATAATTGAGGTATATCAGATCTTGAGATTACCATACACAGATTGGGCTATAATCCAAATGATTAGGCACTATGAAACTTTTCCTTTTCTTATGGGTTTCTTGCAGTCTCTAGCCCCTCAATCAGCAACTTGGAGAAGATGGTCCAATACAATGGGACAGTTCAATCTTTTAGATTTCTGCTTGCAAACCAAGCACCGAAACTACAGCCGAATTAAAATTCTCCGATATTGGGGCATGGATATGAAACTCCGAAAGCAATTGAGTTTGGACCGAATCGACGTCGATCCGAAAGTGAAAGAGCTTGTGGTAGCAGAACTTAGAGAGATAGATAAGATCAAAGGACAAGAAGAGTTCGATCAAAGAGGCCAATGGACAATCGGAAGGTACCGAGAAAAACTCAAACTCAATGACGTGATCCAAGCACTCGAAACAACAGTAGCCAAGAGACCATTCGATAAGAGCATATTCATATGGCATATCACAACAAATATTTTCTATCACATACAGAGCTTTCATGATACTACTGACACTACTAAAATGGAAGCTATCATGAATATATCAGATTATATGATGTACCTTTTGGTGACGCGTTCGCACGTGCTATCGTCAACAACTGGAGATATCATATTTGACCATTCGTGTGTGAAGCTCGGGAGGTTAACGAGAACTGGACGTCTGAACAAAGAGGAAGCCTGCCAAGATCTGTTAGGTTTACAGAAAGAAGGTATCCTTCAAGTGAAGGAACCACATGCACCACCTGAATCAGAAGCAGAGAAAGTAGTTGTAGGGAATTGGAATCTGCTGAAGGATGTAAAAGAATTAGCAGATAGCTTATCAACAATGAGCAATGAAAACATATGGAAGGTAATAGGGAGTATGTGGGTTGAGATGTTGGGATATGCAGCAAGTCACTGTGAAATGGAATATCATTCAGAACATATCAGACATGGAGGTGAATTGATCACTCATGTTTGGCTTTTGGTAGCACATAATGTTACCAAATACAGTTCATATGAGTATCATTTCGGCAGTCAAGATGAAGAGACTCATTAATTTTTCCTTCAAAAGCATAATATGCATTGAATTCCCACAATCTAAATGCAGTAAACAAGTTTAAATAAAAAGAATACTATAATTCATGGGTGGTTTCTACAAATGTGTCTCTAACATACACTTTCTTCAATTTCCAAGCATGTTTGATCTAATTACTCCTGTTATCAGCTCTGTTCTCATGTTTTCTCTACAACCATGTTCGTTCACCTATTCCTCCTCCAAAAGGTTATTTAATAACCTTCAAAATGCAAAATCAAAATGAATAATCAAATGATTTTATAATAGTTAAATTATTAAAAGCTTTAAAGAGAACCAAATTAAGTAAAAATATTTACGTTCCCCAAACAAGGTTCATTTCATAATTAGATAAAAGAGAAATAAAAGATCAATGATAAAAAAAACAATAGTAAAAATTATGTTCAACGATAATATTAACGTATGATGGACAAACATGCTTAGTATCACAACCATCTTGTGAATAGAGTAGGTTGTGATCCTCACGTTCTAATAAGCAAAGCGGCAACACTTAAGTAGCGCCCATCTGGCCACACAAGGGCCAAAAAGCCATGGTGCCACTTAGGAGGACAGTGCATCATCCAACCACACCATATAATATATGCATTGAAGAGAAGACGAAACATCAACAAGATAGGGGCAATGAGTAGACATGAGTGTCAAAGATAAGCTTGTTGAAGGGCTAGGTGGGGCCCCGGGCCTTAACCTCAACATTCGGGGTTCCGAAGGGAATTCGGCCCTGCAGTTCTGGAGTCAAGTCTATCCATATGAAATATGAAAACTCGTCAAATTTGGTGTCAATCGAACGTCGGACGGACACTCCATGACACCATATGCCCATTCGCCAAAATCATGTCTACACCTACCAGATTGTAAATGCCTCCAAAATGTATTATAGGGGGAGACATGGTGTCAACTCTCCACCACTCCGAACCCTGTGGCCTAAGCGAGCTACTGTATGGCACATAGTGTGTCACTGTGAGGGAAAACATTACGAGAGGAGTGTCTTGAGCGACTTCCTTTAAAATGAGTTTTTCAAGGACAATATTGAACAACACAGTGTACTGACATTGCGCCCCAACCCATGTGTCGGAGGTTGGATCATACATTCGCTATCCAGTTCAGAATTCGTAACTAATATGACATGGACACGGGAGGGTCCAATGCCTCAATAGAACCCGAACAAATGACTTGACCTAGTGTAGAGGCACGTCGATTGGGTCGCAGAAGATTGAACATGCACGCGCAAGCGACGTGTGTGGCCGAACAAGGTTGGATTCTGTATAAGTTGTGTTCAGTTGGCAAAAACAAACCTCGTCGAAGGTCCAACGAAGCTACAAAGGTCGGCGAAAAATGCATATGGGACTTGGGTTCCCCTCAAGGCTGGTCGTGAGCGTGTGAAGATCATGACGTCGCTCGGTTAAAAATGTAGGACTGTCACACTTAGCATGGTGGTAATTCCAACCATGGAAGATCACAAATTTCTTGAATTATAAAATACAGGATCATAAAATACACAAAGATGGCAATTATAAATCATAAAAAAGTGCAAAAGTAGTATTAAAAAAATACCAAACCCAACCTAGAGGATAACTCTAAAATACTATCCTCTTCGTATATTCAACGATTGTGCATATTGCACCTCAAACATATTTAATCTAATGATAAAATTAAGCGTCATGGCATAAATAATTTCTCATGATAATATTAGCAGGTAAGATTTCTACTCGGATGAAAAAATTACTCG